GCAGATTCCTTTCACCTCCCCCTCCCTCCTTCACCACTCTCTCCCTCCCTCCTTCCCACCTCGCTCCCTCTCTCCTTTGCTCCTCTCTCCCATGATTTGGATAAATGTAAAGATTAAGTATTAAATCAAGAGTTACTGTAGGAAAAATCCTGCAGCTCAGTGGTTAGAGCAATCGCCACGCAAGTGAATGGACCCAACAACACAACAACAAAATGACATTTATAGAGCGCCTTTCACGTCGGGAGGACATCCCAAAGCGCTGAATAGTCAGCTGTTGGGGCTCGAGCATAGGGGTGGGGTAGGGGTGAGGGAAGGCAGAGAGGTGGGAGGGAGACCAAAGGCACGGTCGAAGAGAAGGGTCTTGAGACCGGCCTTGAAGGAGGCGAGGGAGGAAGCGAGGCAAAGGGACCGTGGGATGGAGGTCCAGAGTGTGAGGGCAGAGAAGCTGAAAGCCCGGCCACCGATGGTGGGGCGGGTCGGGCGGGAGACATGGAGCAGCCGGAGCCTGATGAATGGCGGGAGTGGGCAGGTTGGTAAGGAGTCAGCAGGTCAGAGAGGTAGGAGGGGGCGAGGCCATGGATTCTCTTAAAGGTGAGGACGAGGATCTTGAACTCGATCCTCTGGGGGATGGGGAGCCAGTGGAGTCGGGCGAGGGTGGGGGTGATGGGGTCGGGCGAGGGTGGGAGTGATGTGGTTGGGCGAGGGTGGAGTGATGGGGTCGGGCAAGGGTGGGAGTGATGGGGACGGGTGAGGGTGGGAGTGATGGGGTCATGGAGCCTGGTACGTGAGAGTACACAAGCTACAGAGTTAATAATAATAATCCTTGCATTTGATATAGCGCTTTTCACGTCGGGAGGACGTCCCAAAGCCCTTCACAGAACACACTGTAAAGTGAAGTGACTGTATATTTGTGGGCGAACGCGGCAGCCAATTGCGCACAGCAATGTCCCACAAACAGTCGTAGATTGAAAATGACCAATTTATTATTGTTTCTGGTTTTGGAGGATTATTATTAGGCTCTGTGTGGAGTAAGGAAACTTGCCCAAGGTTTGGCCCTGACCTGCCTGGGATTGAACTCGGGTCTCTCGCTTGCAAAGCGAGTGCTCTAACCACTGAGCTACAGGACTCCAGTTTTGGATGATCTGCAGGTTGTGAAGGGAAGAGTTGGGAAGGCCGATGGGGAGGGAGTTCCTGTAATCGAGCCTTGAGGTGACGAATGTGGGGTTGAGGGTTTGGGGGCCTGAGGGGTGAGGCAGTGGTGGAGTCTGGCATTGTTGCAGAGGTGGTGGTAGGCAGTGCCGGTCATGGCGCGGATGTGGGGGAGAAAGGACAGTTCAGGGTCAAACAAGACCCCTGGGTTCCTGACTGGCTCATTGAGGGTGAGTGTGCATCCGTGGAGGCTGAGGCTGCCAGTGCCCGAGGTGCGGAGGCATAGGCGCGAGCCAATCAGGAGGGCCTCGGTCTTGCTGACGTTGAGTTGGAGAAAGTTGTCCCTCGTCCAGGACTTGATGTCGGACAGGCAGTCGGTCAGGACGCCAGTAGTCCTGGAGTTCAGGGTGGAGGCAGAGAGGTAGAGTTGGGTATCATCCGCATAGTGTGGAAATTTAGCGCATGACGTCACCAAGGGGTGACCCAGTTCGATTCCCGGCAGGGTACAAACTGAGGAAAGTTTCCTTACTCCACACATCTCTGTTTACCAGCAGTAAGTAAGAACCCACTTGGTCAATTTGCGGATCACTTTCCAGAGGTAAGAATTCCCCCCACCCCTTCCCGAATAATAATGTCGTCACCCCCACAACTGTTTGTGGGACACTCACTGCTGTGCGCAATTGACTGCCCACAAAATATACGCTTTATAATATTGTTATTCTAAAGGGAATGAGCAAAAGGCTGGATAGTGAGATTAAAAGCAATGGAAACTTTGACAGTGTCAGTTGAGGTGAATGGGGAAGTGCTTCACTACTGATCTCTCCTGATGTTAAACCCCACACACATTCTAGTGGAGAGAGTGAGTGAGTGGTACTTACCCTGCAAGTCTGCCTCGAGACATCTCAAAGCGCTTCACAGAATATACTGTAAAGTGAATTGATTGTATATTTTGTGGGCGAACGCGGCAGCCAATTGTGCACAGCAGCGTCCCCACAAACAGGATTAAGTGAACTCATTTTTGAAAAAAATATTTATGAAAGATTATTACCCCCGGAACAACGATCCACCAATTGTCCAACAACCAGGTTCCTACTTACTGCTGGGTAAACAGGGTTGTGGGGTAAGGAAACTTGCCTAAGGTTTTGCTCTGCTCCAGAATCGAGGCGAGCACTCTAACCACAGGCTACAGGATTCCTCCCACAAGCACGTTACGACTGCAACGAAGAATTGAGCAAGACTGCAGACAAACCTGTTCTACTCACAATATCAGATATACAGAAACTCGTCTGGCTTTTCAGGATTCTTCTGACTGTTTTGAGCCATTACCATCCAGGAAACAATAGCTGTAACACAATGAGCCTCAGTCGGCAGATCATCAAAATGTATTCTTTTTATTTGCTATTTTGATTCCTGATGGTTTTCTCATGCTCAATTGCCTTCCTCCTTTCTCTCCGTGCCTTTGAAATCCGCTTTAAAGTTTTTTTTTGCCCAGCTGGGTGTCTGACACACACGGAAACCCATCACCGTGACCAGCCGGGTGTCTGACACACGGAAAGCCATCACCGTGACCAGCCGGGTGTCTAACACACACGGAAACCCATCACCGTGACCAGCCGGGTGTCTGACACACATGGAAACCCGTCACCGTGACCAGCCGGGTGTCTGACACACACGGAAACCCATCACCGTGACCAGCCGGGTGTCTGACACCCACGGAAACCCATCACCGTGACCAGCCGGGTGTCTGACACCCACGGAAATCCGTCACCGTGACCAGCCGGGTGTCTGACACCCACGGAAACCCATCACCGTGACCAGCCGGGTGTCTGACACCCACGGAAACCCGTCACCGTGACCAGCCGGGTGTCTGACACCCACGGAAACCCGTCACCTGCTTAACAGTCTCCAAACCCACCTGAGAATTCCCCACATCCCCCCACACATGGAAATCCCAGAGAGAGATTGTTGGGATGGAATGCGCTCTCTCTCTCTCTGGAGGGACACATCCTGTTTACCTAATTCCGGAGAGTATTAGGCGCAGGTTGGCGAGAGCCAAGGCTTGGGGGGGCCCCAGAGTGTGTGTAACTGCTGGAGTGTAACCCGCTAAACCCACACCGCTTGATGTAGCTCTTTGACTGTGTCTTTGGTACTCATCACTCCAAAACACTCCCACCCTCTCCTCCACACCCCACACCCCACCCTCTACATCACAGCCCCGCCTTCTACCCCAAACCTCACACCCCACCCCCTCTACCCCACACCCCCAGCCTCTACCCCACAGCCCCGCCCTCTACCCCACAGCCCACCCTCTCTACCCCACAGGCCCGCCCTCCACCCCACAGCCCCGCCCCCCCCACCCCCCTCCACAGGCCCGCCCCTACCCCACAGGCCCGCCCCCTACCCCACAGCCCCGCCCCTACCCACAGCCCCGCCCTCCACCCCACAGCCCCGCCCCCACCCCACAGCCCGCCCCTACCCCACAGCCCCGCCCCCTACCCCACAGGCCCGCCCCCTACCCCACAGCCCCGCCCCCTACCCCACAGCCCCGCCCCCTACCCCACAGCCCCGCCCTCTACCCCACAGACCCGCCCTCTACCCCACACCCCACCTTCTCCCCCACTCTGCTGAGTTCATCCACCTCTTCATGAAGACATGGAAATTGTTGCTTGAACCAACAACCTTCTGACTGAGAGGCAAGAGGGGAACGTCCCCGGGCTCTCCCTCAGACTCACCAAATCCGTGTACAATTCAGACATCAGGTTTGATCCCCAGCTTTTCTTTCTCCCCCACATCCGTTCCCTGACCAGGACCGCTTTTTTCCACCTCCCGCCTCCACCCGTATCTCACACCCACAGCAGCCAAAACCCTCATCCACACACCTTCACACTTCCTGGCTGGACTTTTCGAATGCCATCCTCGCTGGACTCCCCAGTTCCACCATACACAAAATTCAATTAATTCAAAACTCCGCCACGTGGAATCTCACCCACACGAGGTTCCGGACCCCCGTCACACCAGTCCTTACCAGGCTGTACTAGCTCCCAATTTCTGAAAGGATCGACTTCAAGATCCTCTCTCTGGTTTTCAAATCCTTTCATGCCCTCACACTCCCTACTTTTCCGACTTGCTCACCCCTACTCCACTACCCATTGCCTCCACTCAGCCAGCTCCGGCCTCCTGTTTGTCTGTCGCCCCCTCCACTCCACCATCGGCGGTCGTGCTTTCAGCCACTACACCCTGAAACTCTGGAGTTCTCTCCCTCAATCCCTCTGGCTTGTCCCCTCCCTCCCCACTTTCAAATCCCGCCTAAAGACCTTCCTTTTGATTGTTCTTATGGTCATCTTCCCCCCCCCCACGCCCCTAGCTCGGGGTCAGACTGCGCCAGTATTAACCACTCCGGGACACTCCCTGCGTGAAGGGCGCTGTGTAAATGTAAGCTGTTGTTGCTAGCACTGCTCCAGGCTGACACTGGGTTAGCAGTTTGTTCCTCATGTTAACTGGACAATGTCATCTCTCTGACAGCGTATTGAGGGTCGCTATGAAAGATTACGCCATGTATCTGATGTCCCAATGTCTGGCTGACCTTCTAAACTTTATTCTGTCTGAAGGGCTTTGAGACGTCTCCTCCACAAGATGAGGATCTGTATCAAATGCAAGGATGATTATGAGATCAACCAAACTAACCTTGTGATTTTGCGGGTGTTTTGAGCGAAGTTTGTGAACTCTGTATCTAAAACAATCTGTTTCTTTTTCCCCCATTCCCCGCACCCTCACCCCCACCCTCACCCCCAACTATCAACCCACCCTCAATCCCACCCTCACCTTCAATCTCACCACCTACCCCCCCGCAGGTAATTGAGTCGTTGGGAATCCTTGTTTACAAAGCCTTGGATTGGGGGCTGAAGGACAATGAGGAGCGGGAGCTGAGCCCCCCTCTGGAGCAGCTCATTGATCGCATGACAAACATTCTGGACGAGGGGCTGCTGGGGGAAGGGATCCTGGATGAAGGCTATGATGGACAAGATGAAGAGCAGGAGCCAGAGATGGGTGAAATCATCACCTTGAGAAGCTTCAGACACGTCATGATGGTGAGTGTTCCCACTATTCGCTCATTCGTTCCTTCTCCCACTTGCTCCCCAGTCTGTCCACGTGTTTTCTATTTAGTGTGTGTCAGCCCGGCTTAGAGGTAGTGCTCTCTCTCGCTTTCTCCCCCCCTCCCTCTCTCTGCCCCACTCTCTCTCTCTCGCTCCCTCTCCCTCTCTCTCTCTCTCTCCCCCCCCCTCTCTCTCCCCCTCTCTCTCTCGCGCTCTCCCCCCCCTCTCTCTCCCCCCTCTCTCTCTCCCTCTCTCTCTCTCTCCCCCCTCTCTCTCTCCCACTCTCTCTCTCTCCCCCCCCTCTCTCTCCCCCTCTCTCTCTCTCACTCTCTCCCCCTCTCACTTTCTCTCTCTACCCCTCTCTCCCCACCCCCTCTCTCTCTCCCCCTTTCTCTCTCTCTCTTCCCCTCCCTCTCTCCCCCTCTCTCTCCCTCCCCCTCTCTCTCTCCCCCCCACTCTCTCACCCTCTCTTCTCTCTCTCTCTCTCCTGCCCCCAACACCCCCACCTCTCTCCCCCTCTCACTCTCCCCCCCTCTCTCTCTCTCCCCCTCTCACTCAGGAGGTTGTGGGTTCAAGCCCCCACGTCAGGACTTGGAATCACACAATCTAAGCTGATGCTCCAATACAGCGCTGGGGGGGGGGGGGGGGGGGGGGGGGACTGGGGGGGGGGGGCACTGTGGGAGGTGCCGTCCTCGGGAGGAGACGTTAAACAGAGGTCCCGTCTGCCTGTTCAGGCGGACGGTAAAGATCCCGCGGGGCTATTGGAAAAGAGAAGGGAGTTTCTCTCTCTCTCCCGGTGTCCTGGACAACAATCCCCCAAATAATATTGCCCACTCGCCCCACGGCTGTGTGTGGGGACACTGCTGTGTGCAATTGGCTGCTGTGTTTTGTATACAGTCACTACACTTTACAGTATATTCTCAGAAGCACTTTGAGATGTCTCAACAACGTGATAAGGCGCTAAATCAAAAGCAAGGATTATATTAGTGACAGAGCAAACTGCTGATGACTGAACTGCTGACAGGGCTGAATAATGGTTTTGGAGCCTGATATATTGTGAAAGATCATCCATGTGGGCAGTGAAATGGCCAACCACACCCAGACAGCAACAACCTTCAGAAACATGCCTCCAGCACTGTGCAATCAGGCCGGTCAAATGGGGCATATTTCTAGTGCCTCTGTATTAACAACAGCAATAATAATAATCCTTTCATTTGTTACAGCGCCTTATCAGGTCTTCGAGACATCTCAAAGCGCTTCACAAAATGCACTGTAAAGTGAATTGACTGTATATTTTGTGGGTGAAACGCAGCAGCCAATTGCTCACAGCAGCGTCCCACAAACAGCCGTGGGTTGAGTGACCACATTATTTATATTCGTTTTGAAGGGATTATTATCCCTGGAAAAGTGATCTGCCAATCGACTAACAACCAAATAATATTGCTCACTCGCTCCATGGCTGTTTGTGGGGACGCTGCTGTGTGCAAGGGGTAAATGGGGCATCAGAGGTTAATTAGGGGCTGAGGTGTGGGGATAATGGAGGAGTGATGGAACTTGGGGGTGAGGAGATTTGGAGGTGAGAGGGATTGAAGCGAGGGGATTGGGGGCGAGGGGATTTTGGGGTGAGGGGGATTTGGATGTGTTAGGGATGGGTGTTGGGAAGAGTTTGGGAGGTATATAAAATGCTACATCAAATGCAAGGATTATTATTATTATTAAGGGATCCTATTAGAGAGCTCACACTTTGACCTATCAGTTAGTCCGGGGGGTGGGGGTGATGAAGCTCACACTACTCACTGTGTCCCCAGTTGTGGGAAAGTATTCTTTCTGAATAAAAAAAACAGGCTTTGCCTGTGTGCAAATTTATAAAAAAAACTGGTCTGAATTGAAACAGACGGAGAAGCAGACAGTGACCCTCTGTCCTGCCATCAAGCCCTCGCTCCTCTCCATCAATATAAACAGGGCTCACTACACAATGTGTGACTGGAGCTTCTGTTATTGCCGATCAGCACCCGCAACACTCTGAGCACAGGGAAAGCCGTCACAGCCACGGGGGTGAGGAGGGAGGGGAGAGTGGGGGGAGAGAGGTGGGGAGAGAGGTGGACAGAGGGGGGAGAGAGGGGCGGGGGAGAGAGGGGGGAAGGGAGAGAGAGGAGGGAGTGAGTAGGGGAGAGCGGGGGTGAGGGATAGGAAGGGGGAAGGAGAGGGAAAAAAAAGAAAGGGAGAAAGACAGAAAAGAGGAAGATAAGAGAGAATGAAGGCAACAACAACAACACTTACATTTACATGGTGACTGTCACCAGGAGGACGTCCCAAGGCATCATCAAGGGTTCGTCACCTGAGCTGAGGTTTGGGATCAGGAGGGTGTAGGGTGGGGGGCATGGAGGGCGAGGAGGGCAGAGGGCGAGGAGGGGGGAGGGTGGGGAGTGGATAGTGTGGGGGAGGGTGGAGGGAGAGTGTGAGGAGGGGGAGGGTGGGGAGTGGGAGGGGGAGTGGGGGGAGTGGGGGGATTGGGGAGGGCGGGGGAGGGTTGAGCCAGGCCGGGCTGTGGTGTCATTAGCAGTGAGTGCCTTGGAATACTACGGCCCTCCTGGCTCAGGAAGCGGATAAGAGACCATCACATTCAGTTGCCAAACATGTCACCTTGGAGCCAGTTCAGATTATCATCAGGCGTGTGGAGTAAGAAAACTTGCCCAAGGTTTTGCCCTGCCAGGAATCAAACCCGGGTCCTCTCGCTTGCGAGGTGAGTGCTCTAACCACTGAGCTACAGGACTCCACAT